TCCCCCCCTCCCCTCCCCCAACTTAACTTTTTTATTGCAGATTCGGGGTCCTCTAGGGTAGTGCAGCACAACCCCGCCTTCAAAAAAAAAAAAGTTCCTTGCTGTGTTTTTGCGTCGCCCGGTTTCGTCAGGCGGAGGCCCAGCCTAGGCAAGAACTGAATTTCAGAGTGGGGTAAAAAAAAATCTGATGTGTTCTGCTGTAGGTTTTCACTAGGCAGTGTGGCCATGCAGAGATATGCCCAACTGCATGCCTCTGCCAAGATGTACTCCCACACATCTTTTTGGATGCCTCTAGAATATCTGGGAATAGAAAATATTGTGTGTTTACGCCGAACTTTACAGTCATGGTAGAGGGGATGCACTCCTACACAAGATACAAGGTTCAATAGCATTTTTCTTCATAGAAGTTTTTTTATTTTCTTCTGTTTTAATGTATTTGTTTATTGTTTACTTTTTTTTTTGGACCCTTGTGTCACTATTTTTTTTTTGAAACTTCCGAAGCAGGAGGATGTTTTGAAATTCAGACCAAGAAGTCCCTCGTTTTCTGAACCTTTGAAACTTGCCAGTGGAAGAGTGGCCAAGGCTCTGACCTGCTTTTGTCTGTGATGCCGAAGGCTACTCACTTCAACTTAAAATGTGCTGATCTGCTGAAGACAAAGGTGGATGAACTTAAGAAGCGGGCAAAGAGAGAAAGGGAAGGTGAATTGGTGGGGGCCGCTTACTCAAAAGGTCAGTCGAATGGATACTGTCGTTCTCCGAAGGAAATGGTCAGTCGAATGAATTCCGTTCAGATATGAAGTTAGTGAAGGGTGTTAGATTGGTGGATGATGTTTCGCTGTTTATCTGGAAGAAAGATAATGATAGTTTGACAGGGAAGACGGAGGGAATTTTGATGAAATTTGAGAAGAGGACCGAGGAGGATAGCCTGAACTGGCCTTTCCTGGGGTGTCAGATTGAAATTGTGAAGGGGAAGATGGAATGTTGGTGCCTTCAGAAGAACTTCCACGAGGTATGGGAGGACCAGGAGGGTGCAATGACTTGCTGATTTGACTGCTAGGATCTGACTGCGAGGCTGTGCAATAACAGCATAGGGTTAGATTTGTAATTTTGTTGATGTCAGGGACTAACTGTGAGTTCGGTCTTAGGGGAGATTCGTGAGGGACATATCTGTAAATTCGGGAAATCTGCAGACCCGAGTCCCCTATAGCCTATACTGCGAATAGCAGGCCCGGACTATCACTAGGACGGGAGGCCTTTGTGGCCTTGACCCGTAGCAGCGGTCCTATAGCCTATAGCCGGGTAGATAGGTGCCTAGAGGCCCAAACTGAAACGGTACCGGTCAGTCCGAGTCTAGGTCTAGTCTAGTTGGGGCTCTTTTTTTTATTTTTCTTCGGAGTTTTCATTCTTCGTTGGTACTACGCGAGGCTGAGCCAAGGAAACGGAGGGACGACTGACTTCAGGCATGATACCCTGAGTCCCTGGTCTGGTACGACGGCCATAGCCAGGCGTTCAGAGCCCGCCATAGCTGGGGCGCCCTCTGGGCACTCTCCCTGAGGGTGATTGCGACTGCCTGGGCTATCAGGAGGCCCTACACAGTGGTTTGTGGGTGGACTACTGCTGATGCTACTTCATCAGAGTTACCGGTGCAGCAGAGACAGTGGCGCCGCAGCCATAGCTGCAGCTTTCATCGTCAGAGTTCCTACATCGGCACTGAGGACTTCATCGCTGGTCTTGTTCTTCATTTTGGTGGTTGGCGCTGGCCTCAGAGAGGCGGATTTGGAGTGGCGCAACCAACAGGGTGTAGGTGTGAGAGTGGAGTGTGAGGTTCAGTGGTGGCGAGATACTTGGATAAACTCTATAACGATTATTGTTTCAGATTGGCTCATACTTGGCTACGTTCTTTTGTTATCCTTGCCGTGTCTTCTTATGATTGGTTGTAGGGAGTATTGTCAGAGAGTGAGAAACTCTTCGTGTTATCTCCACACCTGCATGCAACTGTTTTCCGCTGTCTACTCTGTCTGTGTGCAGTGTTTACTCTGTCTCCTCTCCCCTTCTTCTTATGCATGTATGGGCATGTGTGAAATTGTCTGAGTGCGAGTGTTGATTGAATTCGACAGACAACCAAAATCATAACAAGGGTCTTTCAGGACTCCTATAGCTGCGTAAAACAGAAGCGACCTTCACAGGATACGGAGGTGTACTTCGGCAATTGGCCGTCTGGAGGAGCCCCTGCTCATGCTGAAGCGCGCCCTCGGAAAACAGCAGTCCCCGTGAAACTCTTTGACTGAAGTCGGACAAATTTCAGCAGAAAAGTGGCACCCGAGTGGGAAGGCATAGTGGACAGGGTAGTAGGGTGGCTTACCTGGGACCCGGGGTGTCCTTAGTGGGTCCAGTTTCTTGGTACCAAAGGTCTGGTAGCATCTGGTAGGTTACGTCCAGAGGAATCAATAGGCCTAGGACCTTTGTCATCTCACTGTCCGAAGAGAGTAATGCTGGTGTGGAGTCTTGGGCAGGCTGTTCTTAGAAGTATGAAGCAGGTCATGAATGCAGACAAGATCCTCTTTGGTTGACGGCTTTCGTCCCCTGATTGGTACTGGGTACTGGCACCGGTCAAAACTGGTTGGGGCTTACCTCTTCTCTCTTCGGAGCTTTTTTCCTGGCGACTCGTCGATCGAACTTCATTGGGCTTCCTTGTTGTGTTGACTCAGTGTGTGACATGCATCAGTGTGCATGTATGCATTAAGGTGAATGTGTATGCTCTTCGCCACAACTCAAGATGTTCATTTGGATTGTTTAGTCTGCATCTTCATACTCACTTTGTGAGTGTCTGCGGGTAACTGCATGCAACCATCATCTCCTTCTCTCACTTGTTGATCACTGCAGTTCTTTTCATGGTTATGATGTGGACGTCTGGATTGCAGTGCGGGCGGTCTGCGTCTGGAT